TTTCTCGTTTTCACCATTTTGGTCCTTACCTCAAAAGTGCTTAACAGAAACAAAAATGACACTAGCATTAACTAGCATTCATGTTAATGTTAACTAGCATTAACACTTTTGGCTCAAAGAATAGAGATCTACCGGAAGGGAGAGAGCATTTATTGTAACTGCCTGGTAGTCTGAGGTTTCAATCCAATTTCCGTGTACAAAAAGGAGAAGAGGGAAAGAACGGCTCTGAAGTTGGACCATGTAAACATCAATGGAAATTCTCATTAATTCCTTCATCAAATATTTATTGAACACCTACTATGAAACAGAAGCTGTGATGTAATGATCACCAAGGCAGATCAGGCCTCCACCCTCGGAGCCCAGAAAGATCCACATAGCTCTACATGTATGCACTTGGCAGATTTTTTTTCAACCTGAGCATCACAACTCATAAAGCTGCTTAAATAGGACTGAGATCTTATTGCTATTATTATTTTTTAATGAAAATTTCCCTGATTTATCATTTTCTTTTCCTTATGCAAGAGAGATTTACATACTTAAATTCTCACAAATAGTCTTCACATATTCACAGGGATCCGGTTCCAGGAACTATGTTTTGCAAAACGACACTTCTTAACCTAGCATGAGGATTTACTTATGCTTTGCACAAGGACTGTCAAGAGGAAGCTAATTAAATATGCTAAATGATCATTGCTATTTTTAGACACTAGCCCAAGTGTAGGTTTCAGCTACAACGTGCACAGAACTCTGTATACTCTTATTCTTTCCTTTCTACCTTCAATACTTTTGAAAATAAGCTTGAAGATTCCTTTTGCTTGTATTTTATGGCAATGGACACACAAAGGGTGCTCAATTCAGGCTCTTATATATGTTACTGCAGCCTGATCTTAGAGGAGGCAGTAAAAATGACTTCAAGTAACTTTTCTAAGTGACGAAAATTTGCAGGCCCAGATATGTTCCTTAAATGATTTGCTTCTTTGGTTAACGTGAGGTTTTAAACACTTCACACTTAGTAGTTTCTGACTTCTCCATCGGCACTGACTTTTGAGAGTGAATGGCAAACGCTGTAGAAATTTCAACATAATCTTCCACTCAGGTGGAAGCAAACCTATCTTTATTAGAGTTGAGCAAAAGAACGCTATATTTCTCAAAGCCTTTCCCTTTAAATTATTTCTGGTATAGGTTGGATTTGAGACCTGCCTCTTACTTGCTAAGGGCTATTTATGATTTATTTCAACCTTTAGCTGGCTCTTGGGGAAAAAAAGGAATGAAGTCAAAAATAAAGAAGAGGGAAGCTTCCTCCTCAGTGGTATTCTGGTAGCATGGAGCACTCTACACTTAGGAGAGGCAAGCTGTTTAAATTTTGATACTTTTGTTCTTTTCTCTCAAAAATAAAATTAAAATCATTTATCATTTTTAATTAGGGAGGAAATGCCGACATTTTTTAAAGAGAACAAATTTCAAGCTGTGAGTCTTTTAATGTTGACTGGTCCTCTGAGACTTTTCTGAAGCACTGTAGGGGAAATTTTAAACCTAGTCAAATATTTTTCTAAGGAAAAGTGGTGATAGGTCATGGTGAGATATGAGTGCCATTAAAACTTCATAGAGGTCCCTAATACACCGGAGTCACCATAACATTGACACATTGACTGTAATATCTCCAAAGAAGCATTTGCTGTCTATCGTGGCTCTGAGGGGAGCTGTTCCAGTCTATCAATGCAATAATCTGCATGTTAAAAAGTTCTAAATATGTATTTACAAGATAGTCAGATCTGTTTTGGTCTATTGGGTCAATAATCCATGTGTTAAAAGTCTCTAAATCTGTATTCACAAGATAGACAGATCAGCTTTGGCTCACTGAGTCAATAGTAAGTAGGTCTTTAAAAAGGCACCTACAGATTTGCATAGTTTACATTTTAGCAAGTTTAGAAGTGTAGGGTGTATAACTAAATTCTTTTTTTAAAAAGTATTTGATTTTATTTATTATTATTATTTTTGAATCTGCTATAGGGTACATGAGCTCTCTAGAGAGAGAAAGAGATAGAGACAGAGACAGAGAGAGAGAGAGAAAGAGAGAAAGCCACCAGGTTCAGGACTCACAGCACTGTTGGCCATGTGAGACCAGTACCTTAAACACCATGCCACCTGCTGGCCCCTGTTCTGTCTTTCAAAGAGTAGACTTACTCTTCATATTTCAATGGATGCCAGAAGCTGAATTTCCCTCCATCTGTTTTCCTTTTAAAGTGTCAGAAGATTGCCATAGCACAAATGGTATTAAAGCTTCAAGGTAAATAAAGGAAAGAGATGTTTAGACATGGCCCTGCAGGCTGGGATGGTTGCTATCCTTCCAGACTATGTCTTACCCATTTATGATTCCGTCTCGGTCCATTCCACCTCTCTCTCTCTCACTTGTCTGCCCCACTCCAGTCTTTGCTTTCCTCCTGTCAGTCTCATCCCACTTGCCAGACTCGTCCTGCTACGGAGCCAGCATATGGTCTTCCCCTGCTCTAGCAACTTTCCATCTCACAGGAAAAGCCCAAGGCTCATCAAGAAATGCCTCTTATTCTGATTTTCTTCCGAGCTCTCCCCTGGCCTGTGCTCTGGCCTCTTTGCCTTTTCTTGAGCTTACTGCATCTCCTTGTTCCAGGCCCTTCCTATTGAGAGCTCCTTCTACACAGTTACATCTCTTACTTTCTTTAAGTCTCTGAGGAAAGAGGTCTTCCTGGACTACCCTGTGTAAGTAACAGCATCCTGTTCCAATCCCACAGGTTTCCTTTCTCGAGGACTCACCCTTATTGTTCTCTATTAGCACTTATCACCATCAATGTTGTAGAATATGCGTTAGTGTAACTGTCTTCTGTTTCTCTCTCTCTCACCTGGAAGTTAAACTCCGCTGGGCAGGAGTTTCATCAGTCCCATATTAGATAACTGCCTGGTACAGTCTAAGTAGGCATTAAATACAAGTGGCATGAATGAATGGAAAGCAAATGAAAAGGATTCTTTGCACTTGCTGGACTGCCTGGTTGCAATAGTAAGGGTGCAAAACATAGACAGACTGAGCATCTCTAAATCTCCTCACGTAATGTGGTAGATCCACTGTAGGCTCTGGTGATGGCAGCGAACTGACCAGACTTCACAACCTAATCTGATGTATCCATGAGGGTTGGTGTATGCCTCTCTACATGTGTCACGTGACTGTAAGGGACTAAGGAGAAATGGATTGAGTAATTATTATCTGTTAAATTTGGTAAATTATCTTTGCCTCCATCCCCCCTTTAACCATGCCTGATGTTTTCAAATACATCCTTTCTCATGATTGAAGGCTGTCACAGCAACTCCCTCCTTATTTAAATTTCACAGGAACATTCTTTATTTTAATCACTAAGAGAGGCGCCTTCGGCAACAGACTCCCAGCTGACAGCAAATTAATGACTGTGATGGTGTGATTAGTGGAGATTACCAGCTAAAGGGAGCTTGTCTGAGAATTTGCCACTGTCATCCTTATGCTGGCATCTACTGGGGGTTGCTATTGGTCAAAAAAGAGGAGATGGTTCAGCTGCAGACAGCCCTATAGAAATGTAAGGAAATTGGTTTTTGTTGTAATATTTCAGTGACGAGCAGATTAATTAAAACAATTTTTATTGTTAACCTGCTTAGCTAAAAACATTCTTCCTCCCAAACCCTGTTTGAACACACAGGTTTATTTTAATAAAGCTTTAAGCACAAACTAAATGTAAAGCTAATGTGGCCTAGATACTTCCAGTCCCCAAATGCAAAGTATTCATTAACTAAAAGGAAAACATCCTTAAATCTTGCATTATTTGAATAAATGACTCAACTTTGCAATTTAATTTGTATAAATAGACAAAAGAAAATCCATGGATATTTCAGTGAATTCTAGTACCGAGGTGGGTTTATAAAATGAAACTTTTGAATCAACTGAATGGAGAGGAAGAGTTAAAAATTAACATGAATAACAACAGCAACAAAACCCTCTACTCAGATACCAGGTATCACTGCACACCCTTCTGAATTCCAGCTGCAAAGAAATAATGATTTCTGTAATCCTCAGCAATGACTTTTGCGAGGGGAAGATTTCAAATAAATGTCTATTTGCTTTAGGTGAGCTTCACTGAATTGGTCTTATTTGATTTCAGATCCTCCTAAGAGAGGAGATTTCAGGATTTCCTGGTTGTAAAATGGAAAAGAACACTTTGCTGAACTTGTATGACATCATCTGAAGCATTAAAAAGGGCAGATAATCAGGGGTTCTCTGTGTGTTTACCAAAGCTTCTTTACCTCCTCCATCTATTTTATTTCCAAATGTCAGAATGGTCTGAAACCTTTCAGAGCTATATAGACCATAGAAGCAGAGGAAATATTAGGATAAATCCTTAAAGTTTTGTGAAAGCCTCTAAATAATTAATAGACGGGCTTTTTAAATTGTTATATATCATACGACAGCTACTCTCACATTGTATCACGTGAAGGCTAAACATGGCTTAACAACAAAGGCCATGGCGCCATCTCTATTTCTAGATTGTGCACGAAACTGTTCTTTCAAGTACACACCTGAGTCACAAATAAAAAGAATGCTGAAAGTATAAAGGAAAATATAACTCTACTATAGTATTTCAGAATTCCATACAATGAATGAAAATAGTAAGCACAACCTTGGTTTGAAATAGGATTTCTTTTCCAAAATATAGTTGTAAATCCATTTACATTACAGAAAGAAGAAAAAAATGCAGCTATCAAAATACTATTTATAAAAAAGCAACAAAAATGCAGACAAACTATTTTTAAGCATATACTCTAGAAGTGTTTCCCATATACTTACAATACTTAAGTCAAACAGTTAAAACAAACACTATTTTCAAGATCTTACCCAAGGTATGTAATAGACAAGATATTTATCATGGTAATAATTTCTTTGTTATGCAAAACTCTTCAACCATAACATCATGAAGGAATGTGAAGTGGCGTGAAAATGATCTTACCTCGTATTCAAAGTCCTCTGTTCTGTCTGCATCAGCAGGCAAGCTGGAAAGATACTCATTGTCCTCATAAAATTCATGCTCCATAGGATGAAGAGAATGGCAGCTATGGGGAATGTAGCAATAAGACAGAAATAGATCAAAGGGTTGTTTTCAAGATTAAAACTGATTTTAGAATTTTGCTTTAGTTTTCTCTTTTAGAGTGAGACTTGTAGTGATATAGCCTTTGAACAAATTATGGCTCAAAAAAGCATTTGTTTTCCTCCCTCACCCCCAACCCCATATGAAGTCCATCAATGTGCTATTTCTGATAGAATACTAAAAAACGGCCCATGGGTAGAGTTACATTCTGTGGAAGAGCCGATGTGAAATCTTCAACCGTTTATGAGGCTTTTTTGATACTGTGGCCTGCCTCTTTTCTGCTAAATATGACTAGCTTTTTACATGAGTGTGTAGCATTTGAGACTACATCTACCAAAGGGGGATATTTTGTAACAAAGCACTACCAATTTCCAAATCCACAGCCTCCAACTGTCTTATGAAAGCCATTTTAAAAACTACATGTTTATCAGACTACAAAACATACTCATATAACCTCCTATTCTTTCACATTCCCCTTCCCATTCTCCCTCATAACCCACATTTTCCCACTTTGATAAAGGGCACATACAAAAATATTTAAGAGCATTCATGGTGATCATTCACTGGAAACTCCTATAAGCCATAGGGTTTCATAATCCCTTTAGAAAATTCTGGTGACAGAGAGCGCAGATTAAGTAGAGAAATTCAGAGATCCTGGACATTACACATGGCTTTTATATATCCTTTAACAATTAGGAATTAGGTTAAATAACTTATAGAAGTTCTCTTTGAGTTACCACAGGTGACGATGCAGATATTATTCACTATACCAATACCATCTAAAGGCTAAGCACAGCTTAACGGCCAAAGTCATAAGGCCATCTCATTTCTGAAAGACAGGGGAAAAGCCTAAGTGGAATTGAACATGTTGGTTGCAGGTGAGACCTCTAGTGTGGACGTTAGTGAGAAATTGGAGTTAGTATAAATTCTTTACTGTCTTGCTAGCTGAAAGGTGAGGGAAACCCATGGTGATACCCTCCAATGGTCAGCATAAATACCCGATAAGCCTCTTCTCACTATAGGCTATGGTAGTTAGCCTTATAAAGGGTTAACCAGTGTGGACCAAAGTCGCAAAAGCAGTACAGGCAGCACCTTGCTTGCTAGTCACACAGGTAGGCCCTCCATGCTTATACCTGGACTAGCTCTGCAGCGTCCACTCGAATTGGTGGAACATCGAAGCTTGCTGTTGGGGGCATCTGATGTGCCTGACTTTTCTTCCAGTTAGTTAGAAGGGAGTCCTGACATGAGGAATGCCTTATTTATTCAGCAAACATTTATTGAGTGCCTACCAGATGCCAGACCCTATGCCAAGTGCTGGAAATACATTGGTGCACAAAAATCTCATTCTTGCCATGTTATCTGGGAGAAAATGGGAATTTTTAAATGATGCAACAATTACAGAGGAAATATGGAAGCTGTGAGAACACAAGGTGAAGGCGCACCTACTTCAGCCCTAGGAAAATCTGCTAGAAGAGGTTGTCCCTAAGGCCAGATCTGCCAGACTCGGGAAAGCAGCACAGCTGTGAAGGGAGTGGGCATTGGGACCAGACCTCTCAGATTTAGAACCTTGACCCTGTCACTTTCTGGCTTCGTGACCATCACCAAGCTGCTTAATATCTGCTTCTTCATCTGTGACATGGGGAGGGAATAATATAATGCTCCTATGGCTGTGATGAGGAGTAAATCTGTCAATAAAGGTGAAATGCTTGGACTATTATGGAAAACATGTTAAGTTAGCAAATAAAGGTAGCTATTATTATTCTTCAAGAAAGTTTTCATTGGATGGCTACTATGCATCAGGTGGTACTAATAAATATTGTATCTTTGTTTGCTTGTTGTTCATCTTCTCTTCTAGAACAAAAGTCCCCATGGACCCAGTGCCTGTTATGAACTGGGCCACACAGCAGGAGGCATATGAGCAAGCAAGCTTCATCTTTGCCTATAGCCACTCCTTCTAGCTTGCATTATTGCCTAAGGCCCTCCTCCTGTGAGATCAGTGGCAACATTCAATCCTCACAGGAGCGCAAACTCTACAATGAACTGCACATGTGAGGGATCTAGTCTGTGCGCTCCTTATGAGAATCTGATGCCTGATGATCTGAGGTGGAGCTGAGGTAGTGATGCACTGAGGAATGGCTGTAAATGCTTCATTATGGTGAATTGTATAATTATTGAATTATATATTACAAAAGGATACTAATGGAAATAAAGTACCCAATAAATGTAATGCACTTGAATCATCGCAGTATCATCCCCATCCCTTCCACTCTCAAGTCTATGGAAAAATTGTCTCCCATGAAACTGGTTTCTGAGGCCAAAAATGTTGGGACTGGCTGCGTTAGAACATAAACTCCAGGAGGTGGTGACTTTGAGTTCAGCTGCCCAGTAGGTAGTTCTACTGCCTTCCCTCATTTAGTTTGTGCCTGCCACAGGGCAATTTATAGGTAATAGATGAGTGAACAGAGGGACATACAAAGCACAGAGCCCCTGCCTGCCTGGGATTTAGTTTTCAAAACTAGTTGCACATCAGAATTTCCTAGGGAGATTTTTTTTTTTTTTTTTAAGTTCTGACTCCAGGAATCCACTCTAAAATTCTTACTTAATTGGCCTGAGCATTGATATTGTTGTTCTCAGTTCCCAAGTGATTCTAATATACATCTGTGAGTCACTGAAATAGGCTTGCAGGAGCCACTGAAAGGCAGGGAAGTGGCATGGTCAGATTTGTTTTACAAAGTGGAGAATGGAGTAGAGAAAGCAAAGAAAACCCAGCCAGAAGAGACCATAGCCATTATAAACCAAACTCTCAATAATGTTTGAAAATTTCCTTAAAAGTTTATAGGACAAAAGATGTAGGGTAAAACATACTCCTCACACTGTACAAGTGAGATTATTTAACTACAATCTAGCTGCCTTTAACTTAGGTATAAACCAGGAGGAAATGTATTTCTTTAATAGTTTCTTATTTCATAACATGGCACTTCCTCTCTGACAGCCAGGACCCTTTGTTTACATCTCAATATAAGGGGTAATTGCTTTCTTTGGAGAATGGTCCTTTAATTCAATTAATTTCCTAGCTTCTCCTTTAAAGAAGGATAAAAGCAAGGGAGAGGAGCAGGCAACCCACAGAGGAGCACTGAATGCCAACATGCCACTTCCACATGAGGCTTAATAAGCTTTTTGGCAGCTTCGGTGAGGAAAGCTATTTCCCTGACCAAGGCTCATGAGTAGCACAAGGCTTTCGATGACTGGAAATATGAAGATGAGTACTGAAAGTCAGAATTTTTCATTGCACCTCAGCAAGTATGATTGCAGAGGTGGTCCGGGAGGGAGCTAGCAGGCCCAGCTGGGAGGTTACTGGGTGTAGACACATGAGACGTTTTCCCAATAGAGCTGGGAGCCTATCTCTGTAATTGTCAGCTTCTATTTTAAATAAGGAATGGAAACAAATAGGGCTTTGGTGGAAATGACTTGGACATACCTGTCTGAGAGCAGAAATGGACAGATGTCTGGCACTGGAGGGGTGGGTGGCCGAAGCTTAGCCAGAGCCATGATGTGTTCAAAAGTGATGTCGGTCTGGGTGCTAGCATTCATGAGCTGCACTTCCGGGGCCGTGCCATAACTTGGCCGGCTGAGCGGCGTTCGCCTTAACACCTGCACCACAATGGGCTCCTTGGCATTTCGAAACGCTTCCACTGCTTCTTCATGGGTGGCCTTTGAGAGATCCTTCCCGTTGACCTAGAGAGATATAAGGACATTGCTCCTCTTAGAGGAAAGAACAGAGAACCTGTCATTACAGCTTAATAAAAGGTAGGGAGGAAAGGTTTCAACCAGCTCTGATATGAACTTTGTAAAGGAATATTTAATCAGACATTGACATTTATTGGACTCTGTCTCCATGTGAAAAGCGCTGGAGATTTGAAAAACAATTAGTTTTGTATCTTTATGAAACATTTGAGGTTGATTAAGCTAGTAAAACACCATCAGAATTATTAGTAATTCAGAAATGTAAGTTTTTCAGCTTCAGAAAATGTGCATCATATTCTTCAGCTAGGTTGAAAAGTTAAGTGTATCCAGTGTGTGTATATTTTTAATGATCTATCAATCTCTTGGTGAGATTTTCAATATTTAATCAAAGTTTCACTTGCCTGAAATCTCATGTTTTAGGATATTGTCAAATTTCCTTCATATTTGCCATCTAAAAACCATGTTATTGTTCATGGACTTTTTATTTTAAATGCTCACTATTCAAAATCTTATCTGTGGACCAGTACCATCAGTATTCTCTCAATGATGATCAGAAATGCAGATTTCCCGGCCCTTCGCCAGACCTACTGAGTCAAAATTGGCATTTTAACAAGATCCTTGCTGATTTTTGAACAAACAGGAAGGACGTGCTGTTTACACCTCTGAATAAGTACACTGCAGGCCTTTCAATGCTCATTCACTCTAGTTTATACCAGTTTAGGACTCTCTAAAATAACTCTGAACTTAACAGAGAAAGAGAGGAAAGTCTGCCTCAGTCCTCAGTCATCTCTTCTCAGCAGAAGAATCACTTGCATTTGGGAAAGAAAATTCTTCTTTCTGTGAGACTTTCCCATGCCTGCCTGCTAGGGGCCAGGAATATGCCCCAGCCTTTGTGGCACCTAAAACCTCTGCATGCTTTTCCTAATACCATCTTTGGGGAGCAATACAGACTGTTCTTAAATATTTGTCAATTTATCTTCCTAAAATGAGTTCTGATCACACAGTGTCTAAATGATTACTATATTTTAATAATAATAATAATAATAATAATCCTCTAGAACCCTGGAACCCTCAAACAGCTTCATGACTCCTATCCCAAATGAATCAATGTTGGCTTTAGCAAATGTGAAGTGCTATTTGATGGCATGATACTGTATCCAATGCCCCTAACATGATACTATTTCTAGACAGCTAACTAACTCTGCTGCCTTGGGGGTGAGGCACTAGTAACTGTTATGCTCCACCAAACCCTTAAAGATCCCTGGGCGCCTTCAAGAGCAGCAGAGGAATTCGCCCAGTTGCATTTGTTGGAGATTCGCCAGCATTCAAATGAGCACATTCTCTCTTCCTGAGTAGACAAAGAATATGCATGTGCTCAGAGCAAGCGTGGGACATTTTGGGGTAAACGATACAATGTCAGGTAGAAATCATTATGTCATGTAAAGACAAGTTTAATGACCTGAAGGAGCTAATTTATTCAATGGACCCTAAAAGAGTTAATGTGCCTTTAAAAAATGAGCAATTATGGTTCCTCATCAGCAAAATATGTCCCAGTTCAATTCTTGGATCACTAGTAAAAAAAAAAAAAACTCAGTTGGAGATTGGAGTAGGTACTTACCAGTGTGCACACATTCACTAATTTGTGTGTTCTCTCTCTGAGTCTTTTCTCCATGGACTAAATTTGAAAACTCATCATTGAATTTTTATTGGCATACCTTTGGAATATTTGGCTTGGGGCATGTGAGTATAAGCAAACACCGGATGGTGATGGACATAGCTGTTCATTCTTTGAGCTCCTGCTGGATGGCGTATGCTCAGGCCAGGGCCAACACTGCCTACCCTAAGAGTGTAGTCAGCAAATGCTAAAGGAAATCTCAAGATGGAAAATCATGAGCTAAAATCCAGCATCTCATGTTGAAGGGTGTCATCCCTATGTTTTATAGTGTGGCCAGTATTCTTGAATTTCAGATTGTGGAAGACAATCAAGTGGTAGGTGAGAGTGCTCTGAGAATCTGTGAGGTAGGTAAGAGTTGCCCTTTGTCTCCAACCTTCCAGGTCCATGGTATCCCTTCAATTTACTGAAGATACAGTAAGTTGCAGGGTCCCATACCTTCCCCTCTCTGAAAGGAACTCTCAGCCATAATCTTATCAACTATTTAACATTGGAACTATGTCAATATGTTAACTTTTCTTTTTTTCCTTTTTTTTTTTTTTTTTTTTTTGCCATAGGGTGCATGTGCTCACCAGAGAGAGACAGTGAGAGGGAAAGTGAGAAAGCACCCCCCCCTTTGGTGGGGTGGGGTAGCCACACCGCAATCCTTTCTCCTCCATTCTCCTCCTTGGATCTTACACACATGCCTGGAGTGATTTTCAAGTCACCAGGTTCAGGACTCAAACTGTGGTCAACTGCATGGGAGACGAACGCCTTACATCACCGTCTGGCCAAATACATTAACTTTTCTTAGGAGCCTTGCATAAGAATGACCCCTAACAGGATGAAATAAGTCAGTGCTTCTTTTGGAGTAACTTTGAGCCTTATCTGAGGGCAAAGGGAAAAAAAAATGTAACAAGGGTTTCTTTCAGTCACATAAATCCTATAAACCCACACTGTGCATCAATAAGTAGCAGACAAATGGTATTAATCCATTTTTTCCACCAAGGTGGCTGGATACCTTGCCTATGTGTTAATCTAGAGGTGGTGTTCAGTATGCTTGTTTTAGTTATCTTTGAAGCGAGAATAACTTTTTAAAAGTGAGTTTCCTACTGGTAATGATTATTTATTTTGTGTTCTCATAAGCTAAGTAAGATTTGTCTTGCAAATCTTGAATACAAATTTCTGCAAAAACATACAATTAATGAACACTATTTTAAGCTGTGAAATCATTAGTTCTCATTGTAATGCTTTGTATATGCAGACCATATTACTGTTCATATAGCAAGATCAGTAGCTATTGATTCTATGACCTATATATTCATTCATTTACAGTCATACCATTCATATGCAAATTTCATTCTTTGTTTGAAAGACAATCAAATACAATCTTAAAAAAGGACAGTCAATGTAATCTCAAATATCTTACTTCCCTTTTGGGGCATGCCATTTTCTTCCAGTTATCATGCAGCTGACCTCTATTTTCATAAGCGATTTAATATCTCCCAAAGTAAAGAAGTCCATGACCTTTAAAGACTCTACTGTTCCACGTGATCCCTTAGAAAATGTAAGCACTGATGATACTAAACACTTTTTTTTTCACTTCACTTGAAGTTCATCAACATACTGTTAGCCTACCAAAAGGTCACCATTTTATAAATTATGCCTTTCACAACAGAAAAAAAAGAATAGCTTAATTGGGATTTTCTGGCAGTTGGTTTGCTCAGATATCATTAGTTATAGCTAGGGAGAAGAATAGCATTGGGAAAATACCTAAAGTTAATTCTATAGAAAACTTTGTAGTAATTTTACAGGCAAATTAACAGCAAAACTTCATTTCTTTTCAAGTGGATAGTTTCAAAACTTATAACAAGACATTTGGTATTTGGTGATGCCCCTCCCTTATGAATCTGTTTCTTTACCATTGTATTCTCTACCTCCTTCCATCTGCCTCTCTCCCTTTCTTGGCCCTTTTACTCCTTTTTCTGTTTCAATTTTAAATTCACTTGCTACAGACACGATTATTATTTTTTTAATGCCAGAGGACATGCACACTTGTCAGAGAAAGATAGGGAGAGCGAGAGCGAGCGCGCGCGCGCATGGTAATGCTGCAATATCTTGTCCTTCATTTCTCCACCCTGTTGGGATTTTGGACATGTTTTCACACACACTTGGTGTATTCTCAAGCTGCTGATGCTGAGATTCTACCCACAAGATATATATGGGATATGGCTCCCTTAACCAACAGCCTCTGGGGCCAGCCCAACATGTAATTTTTATTTATTTTGGCTGCTGATGCTGAGATTCTACCCACAAGATACATATGGGATATGGCTCCCTTAACCATCAGCCTCTGAGATGAGACCAGAGATGGAGAGCCCTCTATTAATGGCATCCCACTTGACATAGGTAGTTAAGAGTGTAGGTCCAAATTTTATCAGTGCCTAGAAGAGGATGGAAAAATTGACTTTCAGGAGAAAAAACAATGGATGAAGAGGGTTGTGATGAAAATTATGATAGGAGCAAAAAGGTCATTTGAAGATTAAAAAAAAGTACCTGTTCTATAAGATTTCAATTTGAAGTTTATATACAGAAGGATTTCACGTAGAACAGAAGTTTGATTTAAGCATGCTACAGGAAGGGAACCTTTTTTCTAAAGGGGTTGTTACATAGAATGAGTGAGAGGATGGGGTCATGATAAACATGAGTAGTATATTCTATCTGTTGCTATAGCATATCACACTTTGATACCTGGGGCCTAAACTGATTTGGTTCTAGTGGAACTGAGCAACTCAAGTACAGCTGAGAAGATGCGTGTGGTTGATACGCACTAAGAGGCTTGCAGAGGGAAGAATGGACTCTGGAATGGTGATTAAAGCCACCTAACTCAAGATAAATAAGAAAACAGACATGTAATGCAGAAAGTGGTTATACAAATTGGCAATAGCAAAAAAGAGGAAAGGAAGATGCCAATGCTAGAAATTCTAGGATAAATAGTGACATGAGGTCATCCTCAGATAGACTAAATTTAGGACTGAAAACAAGTGAAGAGAGTAGTCTTAAACATGTCAAACTTTAAGCAACTGTAAGATATATGTTCAGGTGAACTAAGAAGTAAATCTATGATAGGGAATAAATGAAAAAATCGATCATGGAACTCTTTGCTGAGGGCTTGCGCCTTTATACTTATCAATTCAGCTCCACACAGATGACTATCTTTACAGATCAGATATTCAAGTGATGTTTTGAGTACACATATATACATTTTTAGAGATGTAGTACACCAACCCCTTAATGCTGTGTATGAGAGCTGGATTCCACACGGCTGACCATGGTTAGA